GGGTTTAAATCTTGTCTCCTCCATTAACTTGAACTGTGTCCTTGACAAATTAACCTATCTGTGCCTTAGCTTCCTCTTCCCTCTCCCTCTCCCTCTCCCTCTCTCTCTCCATATATATTTAAAGTAAACTTCACTCCACATGAGGTCACAAGGCTTGGGAAGGCTGCTGTGGAACCTGGATCTCTTTCTCTCTCTTTTTTTTTTTCAAAATTGATTTTTAGAGAGAAAGGGAGAGGCTAGAGAGAGAATCATTGTGAGGTCACAAGGCTTGGGAAGGCTGCTGTGGAACCTGGATCTCTTTCTCTCTCTTTTTTTTTTTTTAAATTGATTTTTAGAGAGAAAGGGAGAGGCTACAGAGAGTTATTATGTCTGTTCCTCCAAGTTATGCAGAAATTATTAGATACTAGGAGTCATAAAAGAATATCACTCCATTGTCATGGGGGTAATGTATCTTTGAAGATTTATTATTTCTACATTGTAATGGATTTCTAATAAACCTGATAACAAAATATCTCTGTAAAAATAGCTGTTGGTCGATATATTTAATTTTAAGAAAATTCTTTACTTTCGGGATTCATGATAGGATGGCTGGAGCCGAGTTCTAAATTTCTCCGATGTGTATAAATTAGACTTAAGGCATAGACTCAGAACCCATTCTGCGAAAACCTCAGGGGGCTTACTGTATTTGGAGATAGGTAAGAAGGATAGAGAGTTTAAACATAACAGAAGCAACACAACAACAGCAAGCACTTGTTTCCCTTGCTAAGGAGCACAGCAGCCGGCAGAGGCAGGCGGGATGGAGGGGGGAGACTCGGGGGTGAGCAGGGGTTGCTAACCTGGGAGGAGTTTCCTCCGGGCCATGGCAGCGGCCCGGTGACTCTGGTACTCCACGAAGGCGAAGCCTCGGTTTTTGGTTTTATCTGCAGCACTCGGGTAGACAATGACGTCCACAACGCCTTCGGTCACCTTCTTCATTTCCGCTAAGATCTCTTCTCTCTTTTTGGTTTTGGGAATTCCCCCAACAAACAGTCGGCAGTTGTCCACGCTGGCGCAGACGCCTAAGAGACGCCCGTTTCTGCAAGAAGAGGAATGGCGAGAACCCGTGTGTGAGTAACAGACGCTGAAAAGGTATGGCCCTGCGCCTGATATGACCCACAGACGTGGGGTGTTCGGTCTTTACGGTGGTTCAACTGTTTTGGGGAAGTTGTGACTGCTTTTGAGAGAAACTGGAAAATCTGTCAACATTTTCTCCCTCTCCCTCTCCCT